CTTCTCCCGTTCTCCAAGAACTCTCAAAGATGGTTGCCAATGGTTCCGAAATGACTTCCGCTGGTTCCTTCAGTACTCTTGGGTGTAGTTGATCTGGCCCTGAAAAGGGACTTGAACTCATTAAGAGCGGCCAGGTATTCCTGGACGATTTCTTTCCCAATTTGGGGTTGGATGTCCTCCAATCCCTCATCCACTCCATCTTGCTGAGGTTGAAGACTCTCTTTTTGTGAGAAGACCGAGGCAAAGAAGGCATTAAGTAGTTCTGCCTTTTCCCTATCCCCTGTCAGCATTGCCCCATCTTCTCCGCGAAGAGGTCCTATCGCCTCCTTGTTTTTCCTTTTTCTACTGACATAAGAATAGAAGCCCTTTTTATTGTTTTAAATGTCCCCGGCAAGCCTGAGCTCGTTTTTTGCTTTAGCCTTGCGGATCTTTTCCCTACAGGAGTTGGCTATTTGTTTGAATTCTTCTTTGGTGATTTCTCTCTTTTTCCACTTCTTTTGCATGTTTCCTTTGTGTCTAGCCCAGTTAGAAGTTCTTTGGACATCCATTCTGGCTTCTTTGCAGTTGTCCTATTTTTCCTCTTTTGTTGGCACTGTTTGCAATTGCGCCTTGAGTATTTTACTCTTGAGAAACTCCCATCCATCCATCCATCTTGATGATTTTCTTTTATCTTACTTACAGATAAGAAAGGAAAAAAGAAGAATCAAGTATCTGTATTTCAATTTACTGATATCCCTGTTGACATGAAGGAGAAAACATATACATGCCTGGAGTGTGGAAACAGTTTTGCTCAGAGTCATCACCTGGAGCGACATGAAAAGACTCACACTGGGAAGAAATCCTATTCTTGCCTGGACTGCGGAAAGAGCTTCGCCCGGAGGGATCATTTGCAAAAACATGAAAGGACTCACACTGGGGAGAAGCCCTATACATGCCTGGAGTGTGGAAAGAGCTTTGCTCGGAGGGATCATCTGCAGCAACATGAAAGGACTCACACTGGGGAGAAACCCCATAAATGCCTGGAATGTGGACAGAGCTTCTCTCAGAATGGAAGTCTACGTTCACATCAGAGGATTCACACTGGAGAGAAACCACATAAATGCCTGGAGTGTGGGCAGAGCTTCAATCATAGTTCAAATCTACGTTCACATCAGAGGATTCACACTGGGGAGAAACCCTATAAATGCCTGGAGTGTGGGCAGAGCTTCACTAGGAGCGGGTATCTACATTCACATCACAGGACTCACACTGGGGAGAAACCCTATACATGCTTTGAATGTGGGCAGAGCTTCAGTCAGAGTGGAGGTCTACATGCACATCAAAACACTCACACTGGGGAGAAACCTTATAGATGCCTGGAGTGTGGGCAGGGCTTCACTAACAGTGGACATTTACGTTCACATCAAAGCACTCACACTGGGGAGAATCCTTATAGATGCCTGGAGTGTGGACAGAGCTTCACTAAGAGAGGACTTTTGCGTTCACATCAAAGCACTCACACTGGGGAGAAACCTTATAAATGCCTGGAGTGTGGAAAGAGCTTCACTCACAGTACACGTTTACGTTCACATCAAAGGACTCACACTGGGGAGAAACCCTATGAATGCCTACAGTGTGGACAGAGCTTCACTGAGAGTGGAAGTCTACGTTCACATCAAAGGACTCACGCTGGGGGAAAAACTTATAAATGCCTGGAGTGTGGACAGAGCTTCAATCACAGTGCAAGTTTACGTTCCCATCAAAGGACTCACACTGGAGAGAAGCCCTATAAATGCTGGGACTGTGAACGAAGCTTCACTAATAGTTCAAGTCTGCGTTCCCATCAAAGGACTCACACTGGAGAGAAGCCCTATAAATGCTGGGACTGTGAACGGAGCTTCACTAATAATACAAGTCTATGTTCACATCAAAGGACTCACACTGGAGAGAAGCCCTATAAATGCCTGGAGTGTGGAAAAAGCTTTAATTATAGTAAAGTTCTACGTTCTCATCAGCGGACTCACACTGGAGAGAAGCCCTATAAATGCCTGGAGTGTGGACAGAGCTTTACTCGTAGTTCAAACTTACAGAAACATCAAAGGACTCATACTGGGGAGAAACCTTAAATGTGCCATGAATGT